TTTTTTTTCAGGTTGCTGTGCACTATTGTACACGATGAGGGCTTGCTGTCGAATGAGACAATCGGCAGCTTACCTATTTTATTTGTGCGTTACTATCGAGCAACTTATTCAAATATAATTAGCGTACATATCGATACTTAAAACAAAGTGGCAACTCCGCATGCGATGAACGAGAATTCATCGCATGCATCGAAAGTGATCGACTGCAGTGTATTGCAGTCTGGCAATATTTTCTTACAAATAAATTATACATGATACATTGTATTGTGTTTTAACACCAGTTACTAATTAATTAATGATTCTTTTCTTTCCAGGGGACTCTGGTGAATTCGCAAGCGGGCGTGCCTTTCGATGTGCGAGTTGCCTCCAGTTATGTCCGGGTCGCCACTCGCTAACTGGATACTGCTGCAGCGTCGGTTGCCGTTGGCCATATGTCGCGTGCCGTAGTGGACTTTGCAAGGAATGCGGCCCAATTTGCAGCTGTTCCTGGTCTGTGGTTGGAAAATGCCTGTGTTGTTGCTGCTGTGCTGACTGAGGGGACCGCTTGCGCTTGGTGCCTGTCGGAGTTTGTTGTTGTAGCTTAGTGTGCTCACTGATCCCTTGCTGCCTATGTCGGTGATGCCGTGGCGGCGGTGATCGGATTGGTTGTGCAGGTGAGTATGTGCACTTCACACTTGTCTCACTCAGTGGTAGATGTGTTTGATCTCCATTTGCAGGTATTGCTGGCTGTTGCTGAATGATCCCCGGCTGTCCTGGTCGTTGTTGCCCTGGCTGAGGGAAACTCATTGGCGGACTTTGTTGTTGTTTTTGCCGTGGCTTGCGGAGCAGCTCTGCTGAGACTTGTTGCTGCTGTTCAATGATCTCTTGCTGCCTTTGTCGTTGATACCGTGGCGGAAGAGATTTAATTGGTTGTGCAGGTAAATGTATGCATTCCACACTTGGCTCTTTCATTAATTTGTGTATTTGATCTTTCCTTGCAGGGATGATTCGCTGTGTCGTTGTTGATGAGGGTTCTGCCCGGCTCTGCTGCTGCCGCTCCATACTCCGCAACTGTGCAAAACTTCGTACAGTTGTTCGCTTAGCAATCACTTGCTGCCTTTGTTTTTGACGTCGTGGCAGGGGCGACCGAATTGGATTTGCAGGTAACTGTGCGCATTCTATACTTGGCTCATTTAATAATTCGTATATTTGATCTTCCTTTACAGAATTAACTAGCTGCATTTTTGCTGGTAGGCCTTCTGCCTGGCTCTGTTGCTGTTGCTCAGTGTTCCCCGGCTGCCTTTGTCGTTTGTGTCTTGGCAGAGAGAAACTCATTTGCTGGCTTTGTTGTTGCTGTTGGCTTGAATGGAGGAGCTCCTCTGTTGAGGCTAGTTGCTGCTGTTCAATGATATCTTGCTGCCTTTGTCGTTGGTGCCATGGCGGAAGAGATTGAATTGATTGTACAGGTAAGTATATGCATTCTATACTTGGCTCGGTAAATAATGCATATGTTTGATATTCGTTTGCAGAAATAACTCGCTGTGACGCTGATGATGGGCCATCCGCCCGGATCTGCTGCAACTGCTCAGTGTTCCCCGGCTGCTCTTGTCGTTGTTGTCCTGGCTGAGGGAAACTCATTGGCTGGCTTTGATGTTGCTGTTGCCATGGCTGGAGGAGCTGCTCTGGCAGCTTTTGCCGTTGATGCCGTGGCAAAGGTGATTGAATTGGTAGTGCAGGTAAATA